TTTGCGAATTTTTATCAAATTTTTTTATTGGTTCAACACCTTGCATGCCCATTAAAGAACTCATTTCTGTGTGAATTTTTCTGAAAAACTTTGGCAAAAGGCACAAAAAAATGTAAATGTTCAGTTACCACGGACTCTTTAGCTAAGGAAATAACTAATCTTTGACGGCCATTTTCTCACTAATTTTACCTCTGAAAATAAGTGACCCCCACCTCCTTCGTTTACAAATATCTCGACTTGTATTCAAGATAAATGGATATTTTTTCATCCAAATAAAGACAAGTGAACAAGCTTTAAGATGATACCAATAACTCTACATGCCCAAAAATTGATGAGAGCCTGATTCCATTTCGCTGCATCACATATTACAAAAGTTCTATCGGACATTTTTGGCAGTTTTCAGTTACTACGACCATGCGTCAGAAACCAAAGGTTTTATTAGCCCTATCAAAGTAGTAACATTTTTCGGAGTTGTTATCAAGATATTCAAAGAACAGCTTCAGTTGCGAGCGCCGTAAAACCTCTACTAAAACAAAACAAAACAAACAAAGAACAGCTTTAGAAAAAGCTTGACATCTTGTGAAACTTAAAATTTTTTACATCAAATTTCTCCAAACTAAGTCACTGTGCAGATAGAACTTTGTAGTTCTGAGGTAGCAAAGTGACAGAGAGCCTGGCGACTCAGCATAACTGCACAAAGAATCTAGCAACTAGTGACTCACCACAGCCATAACTGCACAAAGAATCTAGCAACTAGCGACTCACCATAACTGCACAAAGAATCTAGCAACTAGTGACCCACCATAACTGCACAAAGAATCTAGCAACTAGTGACTCACCAAAGCCATAACTGCACACAGAATCTAGCAATTAGCCACTCACCAGGACTGCACAAAGAATCTAGCAACTAGTGACTCACCAAAGCCATAACTGCACAAAGAATCTAGCAACTAGTGACTCACCAAAGCCATAACTGCACAAAAATCTAGCAACTAGTGACCCACCAAAGCCATAACTGCACCAAGAATCTAGCAATTAGCCACTCACCAGGACTGCACAAAGAACCTTGCGATGGCGCTGGAGTGTATCTTCCTCTGGTACTTGATGTCCTCGATGATGCAGCTGGACCAGTCCATGAAGTCCCTCAGCTTGTTGCTGGGGCTGGTGCGGTCCACCTCGTACTTGAACTTCTCCTTGATCTCTTCACGAAGGACGTTCTGTGTGG